TGCATGATCATAGACTGTCTGTACGGCACTCTTTTTATTTCGATCTGACTGGTCTTTTCTTGTTTTATCTACCCTTCCTCCTTCAATCTATCTTTACTTCCAGTCAAACATACATCTATGCTTTATGTCCTTCCTTATATTACTTTACCTTACATTATATTGCCTTTCTTAAATTATCCATCCATCCATAAATCCATCTGTCATTCAAACAGTCTTTTCTTCCTTACATCCATCCTTAATTTGTCTTCATCTGTCCTTCAACCAACCCTTCCTTCCCTCTGTTCATCCATCCATCCTTAATTTGTCTTCCATTGCGCTTCAACCAGTTCTTGCTTCCTTCCTTCCATTCATCTATCTAAGCATTCTTAATTTGTCTTCATCTGTCCTTCAACCAGCCCTTACTTCCTTCTGTCTGTCCGTTCATCCATCCATCCATCCATCCATCCATCCATCCATCCATCCATCCATCCATAATTTGTCTTTATCTGTTTTTCAACCAGCCCTTCCTTCCTTCAACCTCATTCCTTTCTTCCTTCCTTCTTTCCCTCCTTCCATCCTTAATTTGTCCTAATCTGTCCTTCAACCAGTTCTACCATCCATAAATCCATCCATCCTTAATTTGTCTTAATTTTCATCTATCATTCAACCAGTTCTTCCTTCCTTCCTTCTTTCCATCCATCAATCCATTCTTAATTTGTCTTCATCTGTCCTACAAAAAGCCCTTCCTTCCCTCATTCCTTCCTTCCTTCCATCCATCCATTCATAAATTCTTCTTCTGTCCTTCAACCACCCCTTCCATCCATCCATCCCTCCATCCTTAATTTGTCTTTAACTTCATCTGTCTTTAAACCAGTTCTTCCTTCCTTCCTTCCTTCCTTCCTTCCTTCCTTCCTTCCATCCATCCATTCTTAATTTGTCTTCATCTGTTCTTTAACCAGTCCTTTCTTTCTTCCATCCATCCATCCATCCTTAATTTGTCTTCATCTGTCCTTCAACCAACCAACCAACCAACCCTTCCTTTCACCCACCCTCAGTCTGTCTATATTTCTTTATCTTTAATCCATCCCTCATTCTTCACTTCCTTCAATAAATCTATACCTTTTTTCTTCCATCCACTAACCAATCTTTGTCTATTTCTTTTTTCCTTCCATTCAAATCCTCACCCACCAACCAATATATATATATATATATATATACACATACATACACACACACACACACACACACACACACACACACACACACACACACACACACACACACACACACACACACACACACACACACACACACAGTTGAAGTCAGAATTATTAGCACCCCTGAATTATTAGACCGCTTGTTTATTTTTTTTTCCCAATTTCTGTTTAACGAAGAGAAGATTTTTCCAACAATTTATAAGCATAGTGTTTTTAATAACTCATTGCTAATAATGTTTTTTTTTATCTTTGCCATGATGACAGTAAATAAAATTTTACTAGATATTATTCAAGACACTTCTATACAGCTTAAAGTGACATTTAAAGGCTTAACTAGGTTAATTAGTTTAACTAGGCAGGTTAGGGTAATAGGGCAAGCTATTGTATAATGATGTTTTGTTCTGTAGATTTTCAAGGAAAATTTTAGCTAAAAGGGGCTAATAGTTTTGTCCCTAAAATGGTGAAAAAAAATTAACAACTGCTTTTCCTCTAGCCGAAATTAAACATAAGAAAAAATGTTATCAGATATTCTGTGAAAATTTCCTTGCTCTGTTAAACACAATTTGGGAAATATTTAAAAAAGAAGAAAAAAAATTGAAAGGGGCTAATAATTCTGACTTTAACTGTATGTATGTATGTATGTATATACATATATATATATATATATATATATATATATATATATATATATATATATATATATATATATATATATACACACACACACACACACACACACACACACACACATATACAGTATATATATATATATATATATATATATATATATATATATATATATATAGTAGTGCTGTCAATCGATTAAAAAAAATTAACTAATTAATCGCACCTTTTTAAAAAATTAATCGCATTTAAAATACTGAAACTTGTAATTTTGCCTATTTAAATGTAAAATTAATGTAAACGCAAGAAAAAAATATTTAAATTCTAAATATTATTGTTTAATAAAATTTTTGTTTAACTTGTAACACAGATTTTTTCATGTAAACAACATACCCACAATAAACCATCAAGATCCTGGGTTGACAGCCATATTTATTACAGAAATTAAAACACAGGCATGTTAATGACATTTAAATTTCAAAACAATCAATGCCAATAAAGAAAACATTGATTTCCATGTTGGATTCTAAGTGGACTGCAAAAACATACAAATACAACAAAATACAGGAATTGCAGATATGTAAAATGAAAAATTATAATAATAAACTATAGAATACAAAGTGTTGCACTCATTGTAAAGTTTTATTGCTGTGAGTTGAGAACATTAATTATAGAGTAGAAACAATTTTGCTTAATCCTCCTTTACATTCATCCAGTAGCTAAGGCCCCGTTTACACTAATGCGTTTTAGTTTGAAAACGCATAAGTTTTGCTACGGTTACGCCATCCGTCCACACTACGCCGGAGTTCTCGAGCGCCGAAAACGGAGCGTTTCGAAAACGCTGGAGAGGCCGTTTTCATTCTGAAACGCAGCTGCTCCGTCTCAGTGTGGATGATGGAAAACGGAGACATTTGAAAACGGAGGCGGGGCTGCAGACATTCGCCTCTCTGATTCGGGCTTTTCCTGAATATTAAGTAGCCTAACACGCACAGTTCAGTCCTGCATCTTCTCCGTGTAAGTTAAAACTTCGCAAGTTTGATCAAGGCTGCAGTCTCTTCTTCTCAGTTTGATATGGAAAACAGACTATACCGAGGACACGGGTAAATCTTCAAAGGGAACAGTGTACTTTATAACTTCATTCACATCACCCTGGCTACGTTGTTTTACTTTCTCAACAATAAAATGTAAACATGATATAAGGAACTGCCTATTTTCATTTTAATATTAACAACTAAACAGACAGCAAAAATGTTGAGGCGCCGTGCTGCAAATATGAGCGTCATCTTCACTGTGTGCATATTTATAACAAAACGGAGCCTACAACAACTGCCTCCTTTCAATTTCAGTGAAAATACGAAACACACCCTCTCTTTGCTGAATATCAGTTTTAATCGATAATGGCCATTATAAAAGTATAACATACAATAAGTTTATACATTATAGGAAATAAAGGCAAGCGATCAGTCAATATAACGTTACAGAATGTACGTGCTTACATTAATCATTAACTTATCTTTGCGCTTAGCCAAAACACGTTACCTGAGAACAAGTAATAGATTCCAATGTCCAATGAATATGTCGTTAAATAAAGACAACAAGATGAAAGAAATATTCCGTTTAATAAATATAGTGAGGTTAGATCCAGCGGGAGATGCTTGATGAGAAGTCCGACTAGCACAGCTCTCATCTGGGTAGATTGGCTACAGCGCTTGCCTGAGAGTGTGTGTGTGTGGTCACGTGATGTGCATTTTGGTGTGGACGGAGAGCAGTTCAGAAACGCTGGGTGAAACGCGAGTGTGGACGCGGATCGTTTTCATTCTAAAACGCCGTTTTAAAACTAAAACGCACTAGTGTAAACGGGGCCTAAGACTAGGAGTATCCTGCAAGTGCACAGAGACTCCCAAATGCCCGCAAATGAATGATAATTTCTTGCAAACCGGTCGTTAAATACATTGAACACCCCTCCCGCCCCTACTCAGATATGTCGCTCACTCCACCCCTGACACCCCTCAACAGGCCTGACACAGACACACACACAGACAGACACACACAACCCGCTGCAGACGTTTTGGCCCCAACGGCCTTCCATACTGGAGCGACTCCCCTCATATTCAACACGCATGATCACGTTCATCAAATTTGCTAAGCGTCCTAAACTAAGCGTCCTAAATTACATTATTTCACCAGGATTCTGACACAACAACGTGAAGCATACGCTTTCGTTGCGTTTAATGAGGAAACACGCTAAACTTGGAGGGCGCATACTGAAAGGCAGAGTAATGCCCTGTCTTTGACAGCTCGCGACTTCACCAGACGTTCTGAGTACATTTACATAAGACACCAATACTCCGATTTTAATATGATTAAGATAATACTCTTTTTAAAATTCTACCGTGAAGCCTTAAAAGGAACCTTACCTTAAAGGAACACCGAGTCACGAAATGCGGAGGATTTTCTTTCTGTTCGCCATGCAGTCTCAACTTACAACAGAAGTCGAAAGTTAAAAATGAAACACCCGAAATTGCATGAAACTCTGGATAACTTGTGATGCAACTAATTGTTTTATACTGGAACTTGCCTTCAAAAAGTGCTTTCCTTGGTCTTATCCACATTTATTGCATGTTGAACACACGTCCACCACAACAGGAAGTAAAAAAAACCTGAACTGCGTTAATTGCGTTAATTTTTTTTAACGGGTTAATTATTTAAAATTAATCGCATGCGTTAACGCGTTAATTTTGACAGCGCTAATATATATATATACATACAGTATATATATATATTATATATATATATATACCCTTTTCCATCTATTTTTCTCTTTCATTCCTTTCATCCCCTCATCCTCTACTGCTTTCTATGTTTCCATCCATTAACTAACCCAACCACTTATCAATCCATTCTTCAATTCTTTCATTTTTTTCTTTCTTTTTCTTTCTTTCTTTCTTTCTTTCTTTCTTTCTTACTTACTTACTTACTTACTTACTTACTTACTTCCATCCATACTTTCTGCATAGTTTAAACACATTTATAAAGCCAGTGGGTGTGATCAACAGTCTTGTTGTAATTTGCAAGTTTTCTCAATGTGGCTGGAGGGACTCAAGTAGGACGCTTATGCATTTATGCTAATATATCAGGCTTCAAAGCGGTTGTGCGCTGGACCAAGCCATGCAACGTTACCTTGGGAGGTGCGTCAGAGCCGGGGTACTCGCGCTGGTCCAGCTTGTTCCAGCGCTGCATGAGTTTAATAACCATGGGATTGCTGAAGTCCACCAGCTGAAAGCCTGTCACATTGGCTCCCCCATGCATGAAACGCTCCAGATTGATGTCCTTAAAACCCTGCCAGAGCAAAGAAGGGGAAAGAGTAAGAAATACAGCGAGAGGGAGAGAGATTATTAAAACGTCGTCGGCAATGCAGCGCTATGATAAGAGAAATTCCACAAACATTCATATCCAGCTTGCCTCTCTGAGCCAATTCTGTGCACAGCCAGAGAGCAGGGAGAGAGAGCACGCTCTGCAGCTCCCAGCATCATTAAAACACTGTCACCAGCGCTCACACTGGAATACGAATTAGTCTCTCAAATTGACGTATCTTGCTTAAAGAAAAGCGAGGATTAAGAAAGAAAAAGAACGAGGGAGGGCAGGAAACAGAGAGGACAAGACAACTAAAGAGATGGAAAGAGAGAGAGAGACCAGTGGAGAGGAATGTGTCGAAAGGAAGAGATAAAACAGCATATGAAAGGAGGACAAGCTGACAGGGAAAATAAGGCGATAAAGGAATACAATTTAGCTCACCAAATTTGCCATGATGTAATGGTAGCCTTTGACATGCTTGCCGACACTCACAATCTGCAGAGATAAACCAGACATTGCAGTGAGGGTAAATCCTAAAAGCAAATACAGTTGTCGGCATTCACCCAGCATATGAATCTACAGCAGAGCTGTAAGCCGTAGGGAAAGCAAAATTCTGCTGTTATTAATTATTTCTATTCAAACAAGCTGCCTTTTCCCATACTGCTCTGTAAATTGAGGAATATTAAAGCAAACAGCGGCTAGAATACATCTTAAAACTGCTTTGACAGCTATAAAATGTTGTAAAAAGAAATATCAAGGGATCAGTTTGCAGGGAATAAAGAAATATGCCTGTCTAATGTGTCATTTCAGGAAATCTGTTCTTTGTTCCCTCAGGACCTTGTGCTTGTGAATATTTCTTTTTAGTTAAGCATGATGCACTACATTTGGTACAGTGTGCAGACCCTAAAAAACATTTGCAACCAATCTATTTGCAATTCTCTATGATTGTGAATTTCATATGCCATTATGTTAATGTTTAAAGAGACCGCTTACCCAAAAACATCATCCTTCACACTTATTTTGTTCCAAACCTGCATACATGTTTTTGCTTTTTCTTAACACAATGTAATATATTTAGAAAAATGGCTGGTTCAACTTGCAAACTATTAAATAATAACAATAATAAAATAATGATAATTTTATTACAATATATACACTTTATAACATAGCATAATGTATACTATACATGTTACTACTACTACTACATGGTTCTATGCATTTTACTTTTCTTAATTGGATTAAAGTGATTTTTTTTTTTAAAAATGCATGTGTCAAGCACTTTTTTAAGCCTATCTCACCTGTTCCAGCATGTTGTTCAGTCTCTCTGCCTCCAGGTCTATGACAAACGTCTTTTCCTGCCTTCGGTCCAGGTCTTCCAGAAGTTGCCGGTAACTGGCATCATTAAAGTTCTCCACACATATGGCGCTGACCTGCCAACCATTCTGGCCTGCCTTTTCCATGATGGCCTGCAGTATGGAATACCCTAAGACAAGAAAAAGGCATCTGATCAGCGTGCGCATCAAACCACCGAAGGCTTGAACCATTGAGCCGTGTCTCTGTTATTCAGAAAGAATGTGATTTGTGGCACTGTCAGTGAGTCATTCCTGCGCCAGTGCGGTACTCTCTCATCTGCAGCAGCAGGCCTGTGAGCCATCACTGATACCAACCTCCCTACCTTTCATTTTAGGCCTCAATCCCCATGAAAGCGTACAGTCCCAGAAGCCCCAACAGTATCCGGAAAAAAACAAAAACACCCTCTAATTTTCAGTTGCATCCCTAAAATAGAAGGCGTCATCGTGCAGTGATAAAAAGAGAAGAAGCTGTTTTTTGTCACATTCTCCAAGGTGTGATTGAGGCTCTATTACAGCTCTTGTGATTCCTGCTATTGGCCTCAGTGCTGCTTGTACTAATCAGGCAGGGCTGGTGTTGGATATGTTAATCTAGCTGTTTGAAATAGGCACTTGGAGCCTCTGAGGCCCACTTGACTCCAAGATGAGCAGATGTCCCTGCAAAACGGACCCTTATGGTCACAATCAGAATTTGGCAACGCAGCTCTCTCGGCTCCACTATTTAATGGATTAACCTGTGCTTGATCTGGCAACCCTGTTGCTCAATCGGGTGCCGTGTCTGTTCGCTATTAGTTTATATACTAAATAGCCAAACGGGGAGGTTTTTATGCTAGTATATGGATCTGTTATACACTTACCGGCCAATTTATTATGTACACCTTACCAGTACTGGGTTGGACCCATTTTGCCTTCAGAACTGCCTTATTCCTTCGTGGCATAGATTCAACAATGTACTGGAAATATTCCTCAGAACTTTTGGTCCATATTGACATGATAGCATCAAGCAGTTGCTGCAGATTTGTCGGCTGCATATCTATAATGCGAATCTCCCATTCCACCACATTTCAGAGGTTCTCATTTGGATTGAGCTTTGGTAACTGTGGAGGCCATTTGAGTACAATGAACCACCACCAGCCTGAACCGTTGATACAAGCCAGGATGGATTTATGCTTTAATTTTGTTGACGTCAAATTCTGACCCTACCAACCGAATGTCACAGCAGAAATCAAGACTCATCAGTCCAGGTAATGTTTTTTCAATCTTCTATTGTCCAATTTTGGTGAGCCTGTGTGAATTGTAGCCTTAGTTTCCTGTTCTTAGCTGAAAGGAGTGGCACCCAGTATGGTCTTCTGCTGCAGTAGCCCTTTTCCCTTAAGGTTTGACATGTTGTGTGTTCAGAGATGCTCTTCTACATACCTCGATTGCAACGAGTGGTTATTTGAGTTGCTGTTGTCTTTCTATCTGCTCGAACCAGTCTGGCCATTCTCCTCTGACCACTGGCATGGCCAAGGCATTTGTGCCCACAGAACTACAGCTTACTGTATATTTTCTCTTTTTCTGACCATTCTCTGTAAACTCTAGAGATGGTAAAACGTGCAAATCCCAGTATATCAGCAGTTTCTGAAATACTCAGACCATCCCGTCGGGCACCAACAACCATGCCACGTTTAAAGTCACTTAAATCACCTTTCTACCCCATTCTGATGCTCATTTTGAACTGCAGCAGATGGTTTTGACCATGTCTACATGCCTACTGTAAATCCATTGAGTTGCTACCTTGTGATTGGCTGATTAGAAATTTGTAAATGAGCAGTTGGACAGGTGTACCTAATAAAGTGAGTCAGCCTAGTAAAGTCAGTGAGTGTAAATTGGAGTGTGTCCAATAAAGAAATAAAATTAACATTTTACTTCTGTAACTGATCTACTTACTGTAGATCCATAACACATTTTCTTAGCAGCCTATTGGTTTTCATTAGCTGCCTTTAGCCAGTTTGTGTTTACAACATGTATCATTGCATCCCTGAATCTGCAAAACGAAACTCATATGGTACATTGAGAATGAAATCACTGAGTGTGTGTAAACTCAAGTGTTTTTACAGTAGCTGTGACAAATCTAAACGTAACTGACTGGCCACAGTGTTCATAAACTCAAGAGAATGCGGGTGATTGCTTTTATTCTCAAAGCTGAAAGAAATCTGATGAAACATGCACAGATCTAAGTGTAAGCCTGCAAACTGTCACTTTTCATTTACGTTCACATTTAACTTCAATCTGGAATTTACACAGGGGCATTTGTTTTGTCCTCTTGAATTTGTGGCATATTTTTGTAAGTCATGGTGTGATCAACCCTGATGTACATGCGTGGAAACTTTTTGAACAATAAGGTAATGCTTTATGAATCTTATGATAAGGGTGTTTTTTCACACCGGATGTAGTAGACCTCTAAAACTAAATTAACTAAATTTTAAACTTTTAAAACTTTAAAAAAGACAGTGGACCCAAAATAAAGCACTTTATAATAGGTACACGATATGAACCATTTATTAAGCATTAGCAAATAGTTAATTCATTATCTGTTAAGAATGAACTCTTCATTAATAGATGTCAGTGAGCAGTTAATAACTGCAGATACAAATGCTGTATTCTTGACTTTAAAGCATATATATAATGTGCTTAATGATTGTATTTTCATATTTGTTAATTATTATTTTTCATTACTAAATTATTATATTATTTACAAACCAGTTATTTGAGAGAAGTTGCTGTTTTTTAAAGACTTTTCAGAATGTATAAGTAAATTATTATTAAGCTATTTATACTAACAGTTAATTTGTATGTTAATAAATGCTTTATAAACAACTTCAGCCAGTTTTGTGACCTATTCTAAAGTGAGGACTTTACATGCTTTATATAACCCCTAATAAATGACAATTAAAGCCTTATAAACAGGTAAAACTGGTTCTTTTCGACTTTGTGCCTTTATTAATCTGGGGTCGCCAAAACGGAATGAACCACTTACTTATCCAGCACATGTTTTACACAGCAGATGCCCTTCCAGCTGCAGCCCATACACACACATACACTACAGACAATTTAGCCTACCCAATTCACCTGTACTGCATGTCTTTGGACAGTGGGGGAAACCGGAGCACCCGGAGGAAACCCATGCGAATGTGGGGAGAACATGCAAACTCTTCACAGAAATGCCAACTGACCCAGCCGAGGCTTAAACAATTGATCTTCTTGCTGTCAGGCGAAAACAATACCTACTGCACCCATGCGTCACCCAAGAAAGAATATAAACAACTTTATTCATTTCTATTCAGTTGAATAAGAATAAATGAATCTGTATCAAATGAGAAATAAATCTTTGCAATCTTAACTAAAATAAAATTACTGTGCTGTTTAAACATCGCATTGAAATGTTGTAAGGCAAGGCAAGTTTATTTATATAGCACATTTCATACACAGTGGCAATTCAAAGTCCTTTACATAAACAAGAATAAAAAAGACAAGTCTAAGAAGAAAAAAAACTAACAATAGAAATTTTTAAAAAGAGATAAAAATTTGTTAAAACAGGTTATAAAAAAATCAAAAAGAGAAAATAACATAATAATGCGATCTGTCGGATGCAGCATAGTGCTCATTCAGTAAAGGTACAGCTAAACAGATGTGTTTTCAGTCTTGATGTAAATGTGCCTAATGTTGGAGCACATCTGATCATTTCTGGAAGCTGATTCCAGCAGCGAGGGGCGATTCACCCTGATCTTGACTGAACTCTTGGAATTTCTAGTTTATTTGAACCTAAAGATCTGAGTGATCTGTTAGGTTTGTATTCAGTGAGCATATCTGTAATGTATTGAAGTCCTAGGCTATTTAGTGATTTATAGACAAGTAATAATACTTTAAAATCTATTCTGAATGTAACTGGGAGCTAGTGTAAAGACCTGAGGACAGATGTGATGTGCTCTGATTTTCTGGTTCTGGTCAGAATCCTGGCTGTAGCATTCTGGATGAGCTGCAACTGTCTGACTGTCTTTTTTTTTTTGAAGGTCAGTGGGGTGACAGTTACAGTAATCCACCCTGCTGCTGATGAAAGCATGAACAAGCTTCTCTAAGTCTTTACTGGAAACAAAGCATCTGATTCTTGCAATGTTTTTATGATGATAGTATGCTGATTTACTGACTGCTTTGACATGACTATTGAAACTCAGATCTGACTCCAGAGTCACACCAAGATTTTTGACCTTATTTTTTTTTTATTTGACCTTTTGACCCTCCAGTTTTCTCTTTGTTTAACTGAAGAAAGTTTTGGCACATCCAGTTGTTAATTTCATCAATGCATTGGCAGAGGGTGTCAATGGGGCTGTAGTCATTAGGCAGTAGGGCTAGGTAGATCTAGTTGTCATCAGCATAGCTGTGGTAGGAGATTTGATTCTTTCTCATTATTTAGCTCAAAATGAGATCATAATATATCATAATTGTATTATAATATATTGTTAAATTAATATATTGTTGTTGCTGTTTCATCCAATTTTATGTTGTATTTTGACACTCCTGTTATTCGGCAATGTTTAAACTTCACACTAATTTTACTTTTTTTAGAAAAGATTGCAAAGACGTATTGTTCATTTAATACTGAGCCGTTATAAAGCATAAATAATCCTCACTTTAGATCAGGTCACAAAACTGGATGAAGTTGAGTGAAAAGGTCACGAAACACCAAAACACATTTTTTGAGATGCTGACATTCATATATGTTTCTCACACTGCTGAAAACCTTATTAGGACACATATATTTCACAAAAAAAGTGAAAATTGGTTGTTTTTGCATTATTTCGAGCAAATTCGTTCTTCTGGTTTGAAAATAAATTTTGAAGCTGCGTCACAGCGATTAGATTCTTGTGTGAATTCCAGCGTGTATACTGGATGTCTGTACCAGTGAGTACAACGTGTTGTCTTTGAGCTTGCAGCATTAATTCAGGAGCAAGACTTGGTTCGAACCAATCAGCGATCTCTATGGTGTATAAGGTGCAACTTAATTAATATGCATGATATAGCTTCGAAGACCTTTTTTTTACCTGTTACAGTGCTGAAACAGCAGAGAGACGACAAGTTGTGTTGCCAACCATAT